TGGTAGTTGTCAACATACTTCTGTTGTCAATTCTTCAAGCGGATTGAATGACCCTTGTACGCAATCGTAATACTTCCTGACAATCCACGCATCACGCACGAATCTGTACACTGAGTCCTCATATTCTTTCTTCTGCTCATTCACCTACGACTGTTTCTATCAACTTCTCTGCAGTGCGCTTCTTCTGAAACCCCCTCATCTCTCTCAAATTTCTATGTCAGTCAATCCATACCTGATTAGTGATGTAATCAACACTCTCGATGGTAACTTTCAACTCCATCGCCAGGCTGACAAATCTTGTTATTATGTAAAATATGACGGGAATGAAGAAGGAGTAGACAGTCACGTCGTACATTCGTTGCAGTTCAAGTCGGAATTCACTTCTGGACCGGTAGCCGACATCTGAAGGTGAATGAACGAATTCGACCACATTCTTCACTTTCATGGAATTTCGAAAAAATGAGAATTTAGAACTTATAAATGTGTTAAAATTTCACAAATAACTTTCATTCGATCGTTTTTACAAATTTGATTTGAATTAATTCCGAATTCGATCGTAAATTCAATCTATTCTAACAAATACTAATTTATTATATTTGTTGTTAAATTTAGACACAAAATGCTAAAAATCCAAGGTTTATTTGGAAATGTTTCAAGAAATTTTCTTATAAAATTCGGCAATTTGAAAACATTCGAAGTCATTTATCTGAATTTGAAATATTTGTTGAGTGATAATTCTAGCAAACGGTATCCGATATCAATATCCTCTGATTAAGAAAAGTATTACGTTCTGTAGTAATTATTACGACAACAATTATCGCGAATATTAACGCGGCATTTGCAATTACCAAATAAACGACAATGAAGCGTGACGCAAACCACGTGGCTTCTTCGTCTTCAGGTATGTTTTCTGGAAGCAAACCCTACAAGTCTGTTTTGATGGACAATCTTACAAACCAAATGATATTCTCAGTGAACAAACTTGCAGCAACACTTTCAGTCGACATGCTTAAAAATCAGCAATGATATTTGAGTTCAACGTTCAATCATTTCCGAGTATCTTTAATGTGAATTACTTGTATGCAAATTTTCGACTACAAACATAAATATTTAAAACTTGCAAATATTTTGCATTTGAATTTATCTCTCGAATATTTTAGTCAAATATTATGCAAATTAATGCAAAAAGAAGCATGGTATGTGTGAAGTAAGGAAATTAATGATTTAATTCTTCTGTAAAAAATCTTTGAATTTCAAAAGTGACATGTTATAACCAATCCAACCAAAACTCTTATAAAAATTGAAGGCTGTTAATTAAAAATAAATAATCGAAAAGATTGTTCTAAGTCATATAAATTGATATAAAATTTATTAATTAGCACAATAGTGTCGCAGCAAATTTATTAATTAGTACAACAGTGTCAAATATTACAATATTTGTAGTAAAAACCAGTAGTTTTTCTACTGATTCATTTTATACAATAACGGTAACTGTAATCTGTTTTTTGTCTGTTTTTTGATATTTTCTGACTTGCTGAGGAAACGTGAACAGCAGTACAAATCTGAGCAATTTATATTATTTTTACAACTGATCAACAAATTTTGTCTCTCTTCTAATGTACATCAAAAAGTCTTGAACATAACAAACATTCAATACACTGCTCACTAATTTGTAGAAATTTTGCAATAAATATTCACTATTATTATCATTATTATTAATATCTTTATTAATAATATTTATATTTATATTATCATTATTATCATTATGATTAATATTATTATTAACATTATTATTAATTATTCACATTGAAAACTTTTCTTGCCCATAATTTTCCGATAAATAATTTAGTATTATTCATATTTTGTTTAGTCAGTGACCATAAAATCAAATCTTCACAAAGCTCTTACAAATTAAGAATCATTACAGTGCATTAAAAATGCAAATAATGAACCAGCAAAGAATCCAAGCACTGAAACAAAAAAGATACCAAAATTAAAAGTGACAAGTAGTTGAGAATTGGCGTGAAATGCGTGTTTAGGTTGATTTGGCCGTCTCTAATTTATGAAGTTCAAGAAACTAAATGGACCTTATGGTAGCTTTTATTATTATAAAAACACAAAAATTTTTACAATAAGAATATAAAATGTTCGAATGTTTTATCTACATGCATTGATCTAAGCTAAACACTTTAAGATTACTAATTGCAGCAAAAAATTGTTAAACATGTTTTAAAATACGTTATTTAATAAATGCATATACGTGAATACGTGCATACGTGAATTCGTGCATACATAAAACGTGTTTTGCATTTTCTTGATATACCAAAAAATTTTTCCATTCAAAAGAAAGACTTTAATCTCATAAAGTTTTTACAAGTATTATAAATTTAAAATTTTTTGTAATTGCAAGCTATTTTTTAATACTTTTTGATGTCATATAGCGATATGAGTGTCAAAATTAAATCAAATTCACTTTTTTGTCAGATAAAATAAAACTTGCCAATTATCAAACTGTTCAAATTCAAATTGTTTGAGGCTGAAGTTAATTGCCATTTTTAAATATTTAAAACTATTTGTTGTTGACTCTTAATGTTGTTTAGCTCTTCTTAATTATAATATATGCTAATTTAAATATAAATTTTAAAACATTTTTTGAAATTTATATATATATATTTTTTGCAATTTTAGACTTCAACAAAAAATTGGTTTCTTTCAAATTTTTCATAAACTATTCTGTATTCTTTTTTTCGCTAACAACTGCTTGCTTAACTGTTAACATCTGCACAAAATTAGCGCAGATGTTGACAAAAATATGAGATATTTTACATTTTTATATCGTGAAAATATTTTTATGATGCATTCTCAAAGTTATACATTTGCAGGCAATAAAATTATTAGTTTTAAAAGGCATACAATCTTAACATTCATTTTTTTAAAAGTCTGAAAAATGTAATAATTGCAAATTTTGTAAAAAGTATAAATTTTCAAAAACCTGTTATTTTCAATAATTTTATTCTGTTATACTTGTGATAATAATAATATATTCAATTTTTTAAAGTTTTGAGTAGATTTTTTTTAGTATTTTTGACATAGTGCTTATTTGAAAATGTAATTATAAAAATATAATATGCGTTTGCTTCAAGTTTTTCTCAGTACTGAACACGTTAGGCATTAAAATTTACATAATTCTGAATAAAGAATGAATTTAAAAGAAAAAAAAACAGTAATATTTTCAAAATTTGAATTTTATAATTTCTACCCTTCAAATTATTGTCCAAAACATGCATTTAATTATTGTCCACTGTTTACATTCTGAATTTATCAATCATTAAAAGTGATAAGAAATAATCCAAGTTATTAACAGAGGTATAGGTAAAAGTAACATTTAACTGACATTATGGGAAAAGTAACATTTGACTGACATTATAACTTGTCTGCCTGAGTTAATTAACTTTCAAATGAATGAGTACGTGAGTGATGCGCGTACTGCAAATACGATTCGAGATGTTACTTGCGATAATATCAAATTTACTTATTCCATCTGATAATTTTACATTATATTATTTGTTATATTATTTCTTTTTTAAACGTAATTTTGTATCAAAGTTACGTTAATATTATTCTTTCAAAACGTCAAAATAAAGTATTTTATTTTTTTTGTTTTAATTTCTAAATGTCACACTTTGAAATTATCCTTTCTACTGATAATCATTTCAAGTTTTTTAACGCAAAAGATTTCAAATCAAAATGAATACTGACATTTGTTTGCTTGAATCAGATGCAGAAACTGCTGCTTGACATTAATTGTTTTGCTTGTAAACAGATGAATTTGTAAATTGTATACGACATTGCCAAATTGTGAATTTTACTGACATGAACATGTTTGATCAAACTTGATTAGTTAAAAATTGTTATATTTTTGCATATTTATTGTTATTAATAAAATTAAGTACATTTATTAAGGATAAGCAGCAAGGAGTATGAATTATTTATAAAACTTATTTTAAAATATTTTTTTAATATGCTTGAATAAACTTCACAACGCAAGTAATACTTAAATTATCGTAGTTTTTATCATGAATCTATACAAATTAAAGATTAAGCTTTATGTGTTTTAGCAAGCTTACATTATTTGCTTCCTTCAATATCACTGTTTTCATTGCTATTATTAACATTATTATAGCTAATGCTACTTGAATATTTCACTTCACTATAACAAGTATAGCCATTATTTGTTATTATAATCGTAGCTATTTTAGATAGTTCCAATTTTACTCAACTTGTCTGATAGACTAGATTTTATACCCTTTCCCTCATTTTGCTCTGATTTTATTCTGTTTTATTTTTATCTTATTT